AACTGGCGTTCTCTAAATCATAACACTTTTTCTTAATGTTTGTTTTCCATACTAGTTTCCATCTCATTTATTTTAAATCCAACGTTGCGCTTTGATTCACACATTATTATTAATCTTGTAATAATACATTTGAGATAATTTGTCTATTAAACTGCATTATGATGATACATCACCTAATTTACAGCCAAATATTCAAGTGATCTTTTTCTTCTATTTTGCAAAATGATGAAGTTCTGTTTCCAAAGGTTAGTACTTCTATGAAAGAGTAGGTCTGATTGGTAATACTTCTATATTTTTCATATCCATGATCCTATTTTATGACCATACCGGTATTTACATTGTAAACATTGTGCACTTATTCCTGCACTACTACTTTGTTTTTATAATAAACCACATTGAATTGAATTGAAATCTATGGGTAAACAGATATTGAGTATGAGGAAATAATACAATAAAATCAGGGCATCGCTGCTATGATGATCCTTTTTAAGAGAGCAATAAAGACTTGAACGTGACACAAAGGAGCATTTTGAATGAAAGCTCATCATATACCAGGGCCCCCTCACATACAGATTTGATATTAATCGCATCTTATTTGCGATTGATATCAATCGCAACTATGTACTTAAGATATATAAGAGACCGCAAACTTGCGATTGATTAGAGTACTTGCCATTGATTTGGATCATTCACAACTCGTTATTAGATGGGGGGCCAGGGCAAAAGGCAATTTAGCCCCTACAACTGCAGTCAAAACCACTGTATATGCATCAAAATAGCTCTAGAATTTTCCTTTTCATGAATAATTTTTTGTTGTTGGAAACATAAAAGGGGCTTTCTGAGGATTTGTTTTCGTTGCTGAGATATCACTTACATTGCATGTAGTTATTTCAATTATTCATTTTTTGAATAAAAAGATACCGGTAGTTATTACATGAGTGACAGTTTAAACATGTTCATGTATTTTGGGTCGATTTAGTAATTTTTAATAAGTATGAATAAATATTTTCATAATAAGCCCAAGGCTCCCCACATGTTACATTGTATTACCTCGCCTGTCATATCTATATATTTAGAAACTTTGTACTTATTTTCCGTACATTATACTTGATTTGAAATCTTTAAATTATTTGGTAATCTACGCTTATACGCTTGTAAAAAAAAGAATTTGAATTGTTTTTGATGTAAATTTGGAACAAATAAACTCCAAACTTCAAGGTGGAGTGAGGGTGATAGAGGAGGGGTGAGGGGGTAGGGGAGGAGTGGGGAGGGGAGGGGGGTCAAGAAGGACCCAGCTTGGGTCAGTAGTCAGTTATAAACCATTAGCCATCATTAACCAACCCGGTGCCCTATTAAAATGTCACCGAGCCCATGTACCAGCAGGGGTTACATACACAGTAGATGATTAGCTTAAAGGGGAAAAAGTCCACCCTGATATTACTTTGGTTTTGATAGAAGCAGAAAATGAGAGTTTCAGCAATAACCAATTAAAACAAAGAAAGTTGTGAATTTTTGAAGGTGCGATCAGTCATACAAAAATTGACATTTGCCCTGCATTATATTTTCCCTTAAGAAAATGTTCAATCATACATATACCCTATATATAATTATTGCAAACTTATTGCAAACTTATTCTATAACTATGAAAATGAAAGTTTTTGAATTTTTTTGTACAAAGCAAAGACACGTCACAGTGTTGTAAATTTGTGTTTCACTGATGCCAACTACAAAAATTCATAACTTTCTGATTTTTAATCGGATATTGCTCACACTTTCACTAATTTGTTTCTCTCACTTTTAAACTTCTATTAAAACCAACTTAAAAATTAGGGTGGACTTCCCCTTAACCATGAGAAAGTTGACACGGACTACTTGTTTATTTAAAGTAGAACTTTTAGAGGATTCATCAGTCATATATGAATGAGAGTAATATCTGCTTTCAACTTGTGAAAAAGTAACTATATAAGAGATAAAGATATAGTAATTATATAAAAAAAAAGTTTTATTCAATTACCCTGCAGTGTTCACCTGTGAAGTCATTATTAATAATACTTCGCAGTTTGCCAAAAAAAATATTTGTCTTTATCTTAATGTAGTACATCAACAGTATTTTTTTTTAATTTTCCTTTTTTTATTTATTTTTTCTTCTCCAGATGCATCTTCAAATACAATTATCTAGCCCAGGGAATTAATTATGATTTTACAGCTTAAAAGACCCTGGCCTCGGACTTAGTATTCATAGGGACAAGGTAATAACGTACCAAATTCCATTTTCTTTTCCAATAAATAATACCAAATGGTAGCTTCAAAATTAAAGGTCCTCTGATTGCCACAAATACACTATGCTCTCTGCAGGTCATTTCAGCTGTTTTTCGTTTTTGTTTTTGATGAACTGAACTAATAGTATGCATTTTTCAAATTCTATTTTGACTGAAAAGATTTTTGATATTTTTTCTTCTTCAAAGCCTCTATTCAATTGAATATGAATATTCCACATACCGGATCCTGAATTCTCATGGGTTTGTTATTCAACAGTCATACTATTTCCAAATGAAATTCCATTCTCATGTTCAGTTAAAATTCGCTGAACGGTACCTTTAAAAGCCGGGTCCTTGGCCTACCAGTACACCCACACACACATATACCACGCTGTGACGATGTGGTATACCACATAGACCACATACTGGGTCATGGAATGTGGTTGTCAGGTTACTATGCTAAGTCTGGTGTATATATATCTTGGATGACTGAAGCCTGCGTTGTGTGTTAACATGCATGCCCCTCCCCTGTTCCTATGTTAAGTGGAAAAACACTCCATCCCTCGGATAGGACGTTAAATGGATGCCCAGTGTAGAGGAGAGTCACCATCTTTGCACGTTAAGAACCCACTGCACTATTCGTAGTATAAGAGTAGGGGGAAGCCCTGGTCTAGTGGTCCACCTGCACACCCCCAATCAGTTATACAGGGAGGAGAGACCCAACGGTTACAGTGATTCAGTTTACTTTTCACCTCTCAGACACAGGTGACACCATAAAATTATAATTATAAAAAGATATAAGTTCCTTAGTATACCCCTCAATATATTTCCCTATTACCTTGTTGTTCTACATCTCAATCTGTTCATTCTGCTGTGTAGTTTTTATAATCTCAAATCAATGCAAATGTTTCTCAAAAACTTGAAAATGATATGTATAAATATGAATAAATAACTATAACAAATAAATCAAAATATTTGATAAATCAGTGCTGTCATCACTTGTCATCAGTGACAAATGACAGTATGATAAGCTAGTGAAATCCTTGCTTCTGATTGGTTAGCAGCAGATTTGTCACCGTTTTTGGTCATATGTCATTGAAAAAAGGCTTTGTGAAACGGGCCCCGATCATTAGAAGATATGAACCTACTATTCTTTTACTCAGAAACAGAACAGAGATTTTTCTTTTCTCGAGAAGAAAAAGGAATTCTGTTCCTATGAGAGCCTATATAACACTATCAGAGTAGGTACTTCTTTTGTGTAAAAGCCGGAACTAGTTCAAGCTGGAGCCCTCAGGCTGATCATTGCTTCTCGAGTAAATAGTCTCTCATGATTTACAAGTGCTGATCATTAGTAGATCTGAACCTACTATTCTTTTGCCCAGAAAAAGGACACAGATTCTATTTCTCTTGAGAAGAAAAATTGGATTTGTTCCTGTGTACACTGAGCACCATCACAGAATTTGCTTCTCTTTTTAATAAATAGCATAGACAAGCCCAACCTCTAGCTATCAGGCCAATCACTCAAATTGAATTCAATTTATCAAGTAATTTAATAAAATACAAAAATATAATATATGATAGACTTGTGCCTGAGAAATCGCATTATAAAGCCAGTGGCTTGTAATAAACAAAGAGATTCCCCTTACAATCAGATCATAGTAATGAAAAACACAAAACAAAATGAAAATCATTATCACATTACAAACATTAAATAAGTTGAATTAAACATTAAATTAGTGCTTCTCAAGAAAATCTCTGAAGATTTACAAGTGCTGATCAAAAGAAATTTTGAACCTATTATTCATACCCGGTTTAAGATTAATTCTACTCATTCAAATAAATCAGTACATTGTCTATTCAGAACCAGAGGGGTGTTAACTCAGTGTTAAAGCACATGGGTTAATGCCCTTCTGGCTCCAAACACACCATACTAACTGGGAATCCAATCCAATCCAATCCAATCCAATCCAATCCAATCCAATCCAATCCAATCCAATCCAATCCAATCCAATCCAATCCAACCTAATCCAATCCAGGAATGTATAAAGCGCCAATATCTAGTTGCCTAATCAAAGGTGCTGATGAGACTGAAAGACTACCAAAATGTCTGTTTATGATTCTAAATGGGAAAGACAAAAAAGCAGTGACTAGTTGTAAGTAATTTGGAATAGGTATGTCTTTAGTTGAGTTTTGAAAGTGGATAACTGGTGACAAGAGCGAAGGATTTGTGGGAGACCCTGGTAGACTTGACAGCCTATGAGACTGACAGGCTACAGCCCAAAAGAACAACAACCCGTGATATTGATAATAGTTTAGTGAACCCAAAGAAAGTTGTCAGAAGGCCCAAGAGAGTGTCATGGCTGTCAGTCTTGGGGGCAATAGCCTTTTTATACTTCATGTTTAAGAAAACAAATGTCGTTTTTTTTTTTTTTTTCCCAAGGAGTTAAGGATTAATTTACAATGAATTAACTATTCAGTCAATTCCGTTTCTGACTTACGAAGTTAAGTGCAACCTTTAAAAATGTATTACCATATGAGACGTTATTTTTGCGACAGTTTCATTTTCACAACTTTCTGGTAGGGTCACTTACGAAAATGAGCTAACAATGCATGTGCAAATATGTTAACATGTATTCTAATTAATGCAAAAGCAACTGTCCCCGTCACCTGCAAAATTACAAAATACCAAAATATTGGCTTTAACAGTATTCCGTAAAACAATATTCAGATGAGTATACTTACAGCTCCCTCTGTAGGTTTCTCTCGACCCTGCTGGCCGTTCTCTTGATGTTCCGTTCCTTCTCCGTCTTTTTTAATTTGACGAAGCTCTGTCCTGCTCGGTCCCATACGCACCATGTGAGAATAGAAAGGGCTAGTAGTACTATGAAATGGAATATAATAAGGCCTGTGAGAAAGGAAAAAAAATGAGATAGCGAAATTATAATATTGATAACGATGTATTGGCTGAAAAGGGCCAATCCAACCGAGCCAGAGCCGTTGGTGAAGTTGATGGGACAAACTATCACTGCCGAGGCGATCTGGATCGCTTCGGAAAGATAGCGTATACATTCTGATTGACAAGGGAGTGATAGTTTGCCATCGCCTGAAACCAAAAGGTGATTATTTGCTTTATATTCAACATCTAAAACAATTTAACTACAAAAGAAAGGACGTGTATGCATTTACATGAAAGACACCAGTTCGAATTCACACCAAAAAAGTTAAAAGTTTAACCCAACCCCTTGAGGGTACGGTGCGCGCATGTGTTTGCTTTAATTGCGCTCATTCGTAATGCGCGCTTAATTACGCCTGTTATAGTGCGCTTTTGGACAATCTTCAGTGAAAGTGCGTTGCACTGTGTAGATAGTAGTACTATCTACACAGTGTAACAAACTTTTTGCTTCTCCCATCAATAATGGGCGAACTATCTTTCATCACGTGATTTACTTTTGACCAATCGTAGAGCAAGGTTCTTAGTATGAGGAATACAAACTCTGATACTGCTGCCAATTTCTGTTTCACTGATGACAACTTCAAAATTCATGACTTTCCTATTTGGAATTGGATATTGCTCAAACTTTCACTTTTGTTTCTCTCATTTTTCTGCTTTTATTAACACCAACTTAGTAACAGGGTAGACTTCCTCTTTAATTATATGTTTGCAATGCTGACTTCCGATGCAATCCCGATCAGATAACATCATCTGAAGACAACTCTGACTTTTATTTACCTGACCATATTCTGAAGAAATGTAATGCTGACTGGTTCCTTTAAGAGAGAATCTCTTCCCGGAAAAGTGTGTTGAAGTCAGTACCTGTAAATCAGGTTACGTCTAATGGCATATTCATTATGCCTCCAATCTCACTCATTACAAGTTGTATTACGTGGCGCCTACATCTACATCCCTCATCAGACTTTTAATCTATGTTCCAGTCAGACTCTAACATACCCCTTTCACATTTGATATATATTCAATATTCAGGGCTGATTTAATATCGTTCTTGTACCTGAATGGATGTTCTAGTAAAATGTTAACATACCTCGTTCACATTTGAAATAGTCCAGGTTAACTTTAAAACTCAGACTTTTAATCTATGTTCCAGTCAGACTCTAACATACCCCTTTCACATTTCATATATTCAGGGCTGCTTTAATATAGGACTTTTATCTGAATGCATGTTCTAGTAAAATGTTAACATACCCCTTTCACATTTGCAATAGTCCAGGTTAACTTTAAAACTCAGAATTCTACTTGTTCCAGTCAATTGCTACTATATATTCTACCTAGCTCTTAAATTGTTACCTAGTTCTTAAATTGTTACCTAGTTCTTATATTGTTACCTTACCTTGTTATCTTATGTTTCATAATTTCACTTTCATTCATTTGTTTTCTTGTCATTACTCTGTTAAGTTTTAATTGTATCAATATTGTAAAGCGCTTTGATATAAATGTGTTATGAAAAGCGCTATATAAGTAAAATTTATTATTATTATTATTATTATATATCCTTTTCACATTTACAATATATACCGGGTTAAAGTTAAAATCACATGGTGATCCATGTTCCTGTTAGTCACTAACATACCCCTTTCACATTTGATATATTCAGGGTTACTTTAGTATTGGAATGTACTGTTCACACCCCTACAAATGTAGCTTACATAGTTAAATGAACTCCTTTTAGATCAGACTGTATGAACTAAGGGTTCACACTAACAATTATCAGACTTCCATCTACATGTATGTTCAATTCAAATGTTACAAACCCCTTTCATATTGCATATATTCAGGGTTAATTTTCATATCGGACTGTACGCTATGGTCGAGTCAATTGCTAACATAACCCTTAAGCTTTTAAAATATAATCCAGATTAACTTTTAAATCAGACTGTTATCTAAGTTCCAGTCAATTGCTAACATACCCATTTCATATTCAAAATATATTCTAGATTAACTTTAAAATCAGACTGTAATCTATGTTCCAGTCAATTGGTAATATATCCCTTTCACATCAACTTAAATTTACTCAGCATTAACTGTGGTGTGTGAAAGTAACTTTGATTAAAAATTGAGCCAAAGTTAACTGCTCATGAGACTCAAAAAATTATGGGGTTTTAAAAGTTCTAAAGGTACCTTTAATCAAACATTTTGTCTGCAAAATTGGTTTGGAGACACCACTAACATTTTTCATTTGTATGTGGGTCTTTTCACATCTGCTGTTTGAACAAAATGTCTACTTTAAACTTCAAAATCTTTGTCAACCCCACTTCTTCTATACAGCTCCTCACTTTTTCAGCAAACGGAGAACATCATATTTACTTCGATCTACATCAGCTCCTTCCTTTCTCATTCCTAAATCCCCAAAACAGGCTGGCTTCAAATCCTCTAAATCCATTACCACATGCCTATGGAACAAACCACCTGCATTTTTTGAGAAATAGTTCTTCACTTGACTTCTCTTTTTTTTTTAATCTCAAAACAAACCTCTATAATTTTTAATTTCGTCAGCTAGGTGGCAGAAGGGCGCTAATGCACGAGCGACTCGAAAACTACTTTTAGAATTATTCGCATTCAAAGATTTGTTTTGTATTTAAACTGCTTTCCGTTCGGAAGATTGGTTTAAAACTTAAAAGACTAATAGAAATGTTAAAGTAGAACACGGCCTCAATTTTTTCTCGGAAATAAATCAGTTTCATTCAAGATTGAGGCGATTTAGTGCTAACGCCCTTCTGCTTAATGTTCCATTTTTGACCTGAAATTCGAGCTGACGCCCTTCTGCCATCCAGGTGACGATATGTCCTTAAAACTAAGGGACAGTACCTTATATCCTCTGGAAAAGGCGCTATATAAATCCAATTATTATTTTCAAAACTGAACTTTGGATTCAAAGCATACACAAAGTATCATGGTATAGCACTACTTGTATGAGGACTGCACAATGCAGCTAGTGGAATTAAGCATTCAGTATAAAAGAGAAATGACAAGAATCATATGAAAAATAGAAACAATTTGGGGATAATGAAAGAGTATGCAAGCTAATCATCTGACACAAAGGAAACTCAATAAATTACATTTTGATGAGATAATTTGTAATGGCAAATGATATCATGTGCCCCTCTCAATTTTTTTTCCAAGCAATTTTCTTAATCACTTTTTTTTTAGAGAGAATGCATGATGTAGAGGGTAATCATGTTAAAAGCAAATTATGGTGAAAGCAGAATATTAAATAATGAAGTTTCCAGAATTATAACAGGACAGCAGCCTTGCTCTGTCTCCTTCGGGATAAGAACAGGCCACCGTCGGGTGTATTCTCTTAATGAGATGTTGGCATACATGCACTTTTACTGTAATTTACTTTGTATTAACTTATTTAGAGCTGAATTCATTTCATTTTGGCTCGTTAGGTGCTTGAAACAGAGCTATAAATAATCTACCAGATGCATGAAAAGAAACAGCAAAAACGTCTGTACCTTTTGTGAGTGTGTGTATGTGTGTGCGAGAGAAAGTGTGTGAGAGAGAGAGATAGAGAGAGAGAGAGAGAGAGAGAGGGAGAGAGAGAGACAGAGAGACAGAGAAACAGAGAGAGAGAGAGAGAGCATGTGTTGGTCGGAGGTGTGGGTGTATTGTGTGTGTGGGTGAGTGACGGTGTATAGGTGTGGGTGGGTGTGCATGTAGGATAACATTTTGTGTATACAGCACCACAAATAACATTTTAATCAGAGAGAATAAGAAACACAATCTTTATATCATCAGCATGTTGAAATTTCAATATCACTCTTATTCATCGCAAATGAGCAATCTTTCAAACTTCTGGACTTAAGTATTTGTTCATGGGTATTCCTTTGAGGGGCCCTTTTCATAAAACTTTTTAATCTATGACAAATGCTAATTTTCTCTGACAAATTTGCTCTCAGCCAATCAGATGCCTTGATTTCAGTAGCTTATAACAGTAGCTTGTAACTTGTTATTGATATCAAGGTTTATGAAACAGGGCCCAGAGGCGTATATGAAGCAATACTACAAGATTGTAAGTGATGCCATTTTGAAGAAGAACAGCCTACTGATTTATTCTATACAAATTCCTGTCCTGCAGAACTGTCCCTGCCATTCACTGACTCGGAGTTGATTCTTTAGAATGAATTTTTAAATTTGTTATAGCAATCATACAAGCATTGATCTTGATTTTTCTGATATATTACACCTTTGTGACTTTAGATGCTGCTTGTAAGTGTCAGCTTGCATGGTGATGTAGATATACAGTAGGATTGCGGGTGCACCATGTGAGAAAGAGAGAGAGAGAGAGAGGATTGAGGAGTCCTGAAAAGGACTCTCGGTAATCTTTCTTGAGGGTGTGTAGTCCTGAAGAGGACTGTTTGTGTATTCTTGAAAAAGTCTGTTGGTTATCTTTCCTAGCTTATAGTTCTAAGGAGAACTATAGCGCTTGGAGAGGATGAGTGACTTTGTAAAGAATATTCCAATAATCAAGTTTCCTAATTGTGGACCATTAGATATGTCTCCAGACTGTGAACCAAAGGGTACTGGGTTTAAATCGCTTCCACAAAAGAACATCCTTGGGCAAGACATTAATCTCCATTCGCCACACTCCACCCAGGTGAGGCAAATGGGTATCTGGTAGGATTATTCCATGAAATGCACTGGGCACCGCTGCCGGAGCTAAAGCTAGGGTTACAATTTCCAAAGCTTTTTGTAAGTGCATAGGGACATTATAATGCGATATGCCCTACACAAGAACAGAATATTATTATTATTATTATAAAAATAAAAGAAGTAGAGATGAAGTAAGTGTAATGACTTACCTAATACGGTTTGTTTAATTTGATGTATAGTACAGTCTGAGTAGGACATGACGAGCCAGCGTATACTCAGTATGGACCATATTAAGCTGACTCCTATAAGTGCTGTAAAGAGACAAGAAAAGAAATTGCTCGGTTAATAGTGCAGAAGCAGCGAAAGCCTCAAGTTGGAAAATTCCATGTTCAATGTAGCATCTCCCAAGTTACTACACACACTTGGTGACAGAGCCTTCAATTCAATTAAATTTATTTATGTTTCCATAAAAAAAATACAAATCAATTATAAACTTTGACAACAAATCTAGAAATACATATTGGAAACAGAGGGGTCCACTAAAAAGCAATGCTTGTACAAGTATGAACACCTCAAATGAATAATGAGTAATTATTTCAACAAATCGTAACTACAAAAGGAACTACAAAATAGGGAGAAAGGGGGATGCCAACGGAGATGAGAATGAGACAAGACAGTACTTTACATGACAAAGATACCCTTCTCAACTGCTGCTCCTAAACTGTTAAATAACCTATCCATATCTCTTTGTAACCAAAAATCTGTCTATACCTTCAACAAATATCTCAAAACGCACCTCTTCTGTTACAATAATGTAAAGCGCATTTGATCATGTATATGGAAAATGTGCTATATAAATACATTGTTATTATCATTAAAGCTAGAAAGGATGTAAGTATCCACAAATTAATAAACATGTAACTCGGTGGTCCAATTAAATTAAAAATTTGTGATAAATCATAACCTTTGCCATTTCATTTTATATGTAAATTAAAATCCTTTATTCATTTTGTTACAGAATTACATTAATTTTGATGTGGTATAGGGATGTTAATGCTTTGGAATGCAAAATTCAGCCAGGGGAGTGTTTCACAAAGCCTTTTTTCAATCACAAATTACAAAAATCAGTGACAAAACTGCTGATAACCAATCATAAGCAAGAATCTCTCTGGCTTAATAATAAAAACGGCCATTTTGTTTTGTGAAATACTCTCCTGGTTTACATATAAGTTAGCATGCACGTGCTTACGAATGTGAGCGGAAATCTATATGCCCGTATTCAAAATGACAGACAAGATTATGCAAAGTAGACTGAAATCTAAGACTACACAATTCCCATACATGTATTGTCAGGAGAAATCAGTCGACATGGCTCATCCTTTGATGCTTCATGTTTTGAGATAATCTACAAAACCAATTTAATAAGCAATACGCTGAGAATTTAATGAAGAGTGCAGGTGAATCTCCTTTGTGGTCTAGTCTGAGAATTTAGACTCTAAAGCTAAAGGGTAGACCTCTGAGTAGGGTAAAACAGAAATTCAGATGATTACTAAAAATAAGATGTGCTACCGCTAAAGGGTTTTTGCTGTTCTCTCTCTCTCTCTCTCTCTCTGTTGATTCCGAAATCACACTTCTCATCACTGCTTTTCATCTATCTTCTTTGTCTCCCTCCTTCTCTTCATAATAATTACAGTGCTTATATAGCGCCTAACACTTACTTTGTCAGAAGTCTCTAAGCGCTCTACAATAATGCAGCATAATTACCCTGGCTTTAGCAGTGCAGCTGTTACGCGCGCTGCGTTTCAAGGAATAAATTCCTACCAGGTACCCATTTACTTCACCTGGGTGGAGTGTGGCAAATGTAGATCAATGTCTTGCCAAAGGACGTTAGTGCAGCGGCGGGACTCGAACCGCGGACCTTGTGATCGACAGTCCGGCGACGTATCCACTCGTCCACAACACCTCTACTTCATTTCACTCTCTCTCTCTTATCTTTCCCTCCATCCCCCTCTTTCCTTACTCTCCTAATTTCATCTTCTCTTTCTGTCCCTCTCACCCTCTCTCCCTCTCTCTCTCTCTCTCTCCCTTTATATTTTTGTAGAGCATAGAACATGGGTGGTTACTGATCTACACTTTTATATTGCTCTGAAAAGTGAAAAGCTAAATATGAGCTCTGGTTCTTGAACAAAACCATGGAGTACATTAATATGACATGACCAAAATTCTATTTCTTTTCCTACAGCATATCTTGAAATTGCTCCAGTAAACCAATCACTTTTATGCTGCCCTTCGCCGAGGGTTAGGGCATCACGACTAGGTCCGTAGATAAAGCTAATTGGTCTGCTGTTCATGAGTAGGGGAGGGCAAATCAATGAAAATGCGTGAACAGGTTGGATGCGCTCAGCTAATCATCATTGACATGATACCCTCTGAGCATAGTCTTCTCAAAACAAACCCCAGATCATTGCCATCATCATCATCCTTGCCTAGTCTGCATACAGAGACTAAAATTTTTAAATAATTATTTGTGATTCTACTTTGCGCCATGCATCTATAATGTCTCTAAAAACTTAGAGATATATTACTACTCCGAACATTGGAATCATCATGTATTCTCACTTCTCTTCTTCCCCACCCCCCCCCCCTCTCTCTCTCTCTCTCTTCCAAACACTAACAATGCATTTTGCAACATTCAAATTTTGACTTAGCCCTATATTCATGTGTACTGCAATTTCTATGATTACATAATCATTACAACTGAGGCATCACTGAAAAAGGGAATAGGCATGCTTTACAATATTAAAGTATGATACATGGTATTAAAGGGAAAGTCCACCCCCAAAATAAGTTTGTTTCGATAGAGGCAGAATAATAAGAAAATCAGGTGAGTGAAAGTTTGAGCAAATTCTGAATGAAAATAAGAAAGTTATGAATTATTGAAGTTGTGATCAATCAAATACAAATTGGCAACTCTGTGACTTATCATACGAGCTCTCCTTCATTTGCTTTGTGCATAATATTCCATAAAATCATGTTTTCTTCGTTATTGATGACGGAATATATATTTGTTCCTTGCAGGGGGAGTATAGAAACATATTTGCAATTATTATATTTAGGGTGCATGTATGGTTGAAATTTTTCTTGAGGGAAAATGAAAATTTTAGTACTGAGCAAATGGAAGTTGAGCTCGCATGATACGTCATAGAGTTGCCAATTTGTGTTTGATTGATCACAACTTCAAAAATCCTAACTTCCTTATTTTTAATCGGAATTTGCTCAAACTTTCACTGACTTGTTTCTCTCATTTTTCTACTCCTATTAAAACTAACTTAATTTCAGGGTGGACTTCCCCTTTAAGAAAGATATCAGAGCTCTTACTTAAATTGCACTACCACTGGGGGAGCTAAGAAGAGGCATGCATATCAAAACTCTGAGTGTCCTTTCATGTCGCCGTCATAAATAAAAGTCCAACAAAATCCAATCAAGACATGCTTAAATGTTAAATACAATTCATGTCAATAAGATGTACTTGTACTATTATGACGGTTTTGGGATTGGCCCAACCCGTAACAACCATCTCATGGATTGATTTCTTTAATTTGCAAATTGCCTTAAACCCCACCCCCCCCCCCTTCAGATACAGCATAATTCCTTTCCCTTGGGAAGTCACATTTGCTTTAATGCATTCTCAGAAGGAGACTTGTCTCCTCATTAATTAAATGACCCGTACCCTTTCAGACAAGGAGAACTATACCATATTTATTAACTGTGTGAATGTTTTTAAATGGAAAGTCTGAAAAAGAAAATGATGGTTGGGGCATTATGTTGCCAAACCATGTATAAGGGATATAAAAGTATTGAATTGGGGAAACAATATGCCGTTTACAACTTAATATCATTCCTAATATCCGTAAAGTTTATGGAGGCTCAAAACTCCACCTTCTCTTCGAAGGAGAGAGTCTGGATTACAATGTTAGGTTCAGTATTATAAAAGTGAAATTTGGCGAGGGTGTTGGGATCTCTAATTGGCTTTGGCTTACTTCTATTTATCAGGTCATCATGTCTGGTCGGGGAGTCGCGTTACATGACCTTTCATAAAACGAAAACAGAAGATCATGTGCGAATGCACGTAAAGGATGCAACCTTTCAGAGATTTTCTGAAGGGTTTTCACAAGGTGTCCGGTAATTGTAACCAGACCAATTGAAGAAGAGAGGGGTTAATTTCACAAACATCAGCCTACATATTTCGTGAATAAAGGGTATTGTTTTCACAAAAGGTCGGGTAACACGGCTACCTGACCTGATGCGATGACCAAACGATTCAAAGTAAGCCTTGGCTTTGGGGTTTCTGTTCCTTTATGAATTGCCTGACAAGAGATAAACCCTTCTACATTCTGAGGTAGCTAGGGCGCCGGTTGCCCTGGGAAACCATGAATTGTGTATCCTATCTAGCCAATGTATCAACATTAAAGTTGCTCATGCGTGGGTATATAGAGGGCAGCACACTGAGCCAACGAGTATTACGCTTCTGTGCGTACTAGTGTCCTTTTATGCGTACGTCTGTACGCGGAGCGTAATACCATTGGCTCAGTGTTCGCTAAGTTGCCTACTTCACTAACAACTATATACCGACGCATAAACGTTTTTAAAGGAACGGTCAGAGAAACCAAACAGAACTTGTTTACATTTATGCCACATTCTGAGGTAGCTATTAGGCGGGCTGGTTGCCCTGGGAAACCATGAATTGTGTACCCAATGTATCAACATTAAAGGAATGGTCAGCGAAACACATCAGACCTTGTTTAAATATATTCCACATTTCGAGGTAGCTATCAGGCAGGCTGGTTGCCTGGGAAACCTCAGATTGTGTACTCTATCTAGCCCATGGATCAACCTTAAAGGAACGGTCAGCGAAACCAAACAGATCTTGTTTACATGTTTTCCACCTTCTGAGGTAGCTAGCATGCTGACTGGTTGCCCTGGGAAACCATGAACTGTGTACTCTATCCCATGTATCAACCTTAAAGGAACGGTCAGCGAAACCCATCAGAACATTTTAACATATATTCCACATTCTATGGGAGCTATTAGGAAGACTAGTTGCCCTGGGAAACCATGAATTGCGTACTCTAGACAATGAAAGACAATTTCAACAATAAAGGAACCATCAGAGAAACCCAACAGACATTGTTTACACAAACACGACTCATCATCCGTCTAAAGCTGTATCAACATACACGACATGATCAGTGGTAGCTAGCATGCTGGTTGCCCTGGAAACCATGAATGCTATACGCAAGCCCATGTATCA